ATTTAATTGAATATCCTTTGATCAATTCAAGATCATGTTCTTCTGCTTGGACTTAAATTGACATTAGCTGTGCAACTTAAATGAGCAAATACTTAACGTCTGCCTTGCTACAGGCAAGTTCTCATCTTCAGGGTAAGCTGGTCTCCTTTCGCTCACAAAGGAGGAGTTCATCTTCTGCCAGGTATTTCTGCTAAGTAACTGACTTCTTTTCTTCACCATGCTATTGTGAAACCTCTAACGTAGTTAAGATGATATTTAGTGATTTTAAAAGCAACAACAGCCAGAGACTTTACTGAATGGTTGAATTAAATTCGGGATTCTTCTAATTCATTAGAGGCAGTTACTACCTTTATATACATCTCCCTACTCCCACTACTCTTCCTGAGGGGTTTATATGTCCTGGATTCCATGTGTCGAGAACTCTTATCTGTACCAATGTGTGTACTCCAGTCTAGCCTGACTTATAAGGTAGAACTGACTCACGGTAGTGGAGGAAGCATTCAAGAACTAGAGGAATGGTGTGTGTTTTGTTGGTGCTATACTGCACCCTGGTTGAATTGTCCCTTCCTTGTAACCTTTCTGTGCGGGGATATCCAATTGTCTACAGATGGGCTTTGGATCTCCACTCCACGCCCCCTCATTCACTCTTGGGACCAATCAATATACTTGTTTTGGATCTTTTGACACCTGATCCCTGATCCTGTTGACACCTCATGATCACACAGGCTAGTGTGCTTCCTCCATTTGGGTCTTGTTGCTTCCCTGCTATACGGCCATTTCTTTAACTTCAAGCCTTTAAGATCCCAGACTCTATCTTTTGATAGCTGGGCACCATCAGCTTTCTTCACCACATTTGCTTATGCACCTATTTTGTCTTCAGCGATTGTTTCGGGAAGGTGCATATCAAAGAGTGCCAGGTTATTAGAACAAAGTGTTATTGTGTTTAGGGAGGCTTCGAGTAGAGACCCAAAGTCTGTCTGCTATCTTAATACTTAACATCTAAATATATGTACATTTACCTTTATCCCTTTCATTATAAAATATTTACATATATACATACCTATAGTTTACCTCTATAAACAGCTTTTGCCTTTTTGTTCTTTCTTCTGTTTCTTTTCACCCTTCCTCCTGTCCCACCGCTAATGCTCACCTGCTATTCCGCTCTCAGTAATTCCTCTCGGCTACATTGCACTTGATCAAACCCCACCAGACATTATATGCCCTCCTCGCCATCAATTTTAGATCTCCTGTTGTTCCCTGGGCTTGCTGGTCTTGAATCCTAACTCCAACTTCCAAGTAGTCAGGTGGTCAGAGGGCTGCAGAATCTGCAATTGTGCAAATATCCCAAGCATGGCCCTCCCCTCACCTGCTTCTGTAGTCATACCCGCAGCAGTGAGGAATTGATCTGCTGCCAAATCATAGTTTTATAACCATTTCCTTTGTTTTCCATGTGCTGTAGTTAGCCACAAGGCCATGAATTCTTTTGATGACAAAGTGTATAAAAGATGATTATAATAAAATTCCCGGGCCCAGGAGCTGAAGATGCTAAAATCTGATGGACACAACACAATTGATCTATGTATTGCGATGAATTGTATGAGCCCCAATAAATTGATTTAAAAAAATAAATAAAAGTATGGTGAAAGGGAAAAAAAATCTAGACATCACAAAAATGGTCAGCGTGAAAACACTGCCTTCACTTGCAATAGGCATCTCCTCCCCTGGGGTAAAACTTACCATGGCCATAAGAACTTTAGTTAGATAAAATCAAGAACTCATCGTTAGATAAAATCAAGAACTAATAGATAAAATGTGCTTTGTTTTGTTCCACTCGTAGGTCAAAATATCCCTCTCCTTGGAAAAGGAGTGTGTTGACTCTAATTGTTGCTTTTTTTTAATTTAAGAAAACACGTATAAACTTTGTGTTTAGCTGGACACGATGTTTGAAGCGGGCATTTAGGAAGTGCTGAAACTATCCTGGTAGTACCCTGGTACCTCAGTGAGTGATGCATTGGGCTGTTAACCTCATGTTTGGCTGTTCTAACCCGTGCCACGGGAGAAAGGTGAGGCTTTCTGTTCCAGTAAAGATTTACAGCCTCAGAAACCCACACGAGATCGTTTGACTCTCTATTTCCCTTTTATGCATAAAACTCTTCTGTCTCATCCTTCGGGAGCTCGTGGGGGCAAGGGAGAAAGATGAGGTTTCCTACTCCGGTAAAGATTCACAGCCTTGGAAATCCACAGAGGGCAGTCCTACCGTGTCTTATAGGATTACTATGCGTCAAAATCAACTGAATGACAGTGAGTTCGGTTGTCCGGTTTGAGTTTCGTCACTCCCGTGGCCGAATTGGCTTTGCGTCGCACAGGACACGACCTGGATTTGAGTAACAATTTGGACGACCATCGTGGCTTCTTGAGGAGCCTGGTGGCTCAGTGGGATGCTGTTGGGCTGTTAACCACAAAGCTAGCTGTTAGAAACCACCAGCTGATCGATCGATCGGTCAGCTGGAGAAAGAGGAGGGTTTCTGATCCCTTAAAGGGCTACCATCTGGGAAATCCACAGGGGCAATGGTACTCTGTCCTATGAGTGGGGATTCACACACTCGCTGGCTGTGAGTTGAGTTTGCTACCCTGACAAACGGTGTTGGTTACCGAGCTCGGAGTCAGGGAATTAAAGTCTGGAGTTGGGCAGCAGCTCGGCGGAAGAAAGACCGGGCTTTCTGCTCGCATAAACAGTTCGTCTGAAACTCACAGGGGGTCGCTCTGAGTCCGCATGGACTCGAAGGCAGCGAGTTTGGTTTCTGGTTTTAAAGTTCGGAAGAGGAGCCTGGATGGCGGGGTGGGGGGTGTCTTGGGCTGTGAACCGCAAGGTCAGCCATTCGAAACCCCCAGCCGCTCTGCAGCAGAAAGCCGAGGCTTTCGTCTCAGAAACCCAAAGCTCTCACTGCCACGAGCCGACGCCGACTCGCAGGGACCCCGTGGGTCCGAGACTGCCACTCTGGACTCAGGGGAACGCCGCCTCTTCCTCCCGGTTAGCAGCCACCACTGCGCCACCAGGGCAGCCGTGCCGGTCTGGTAGGGGCGCTAGGAGTGGGAATGGACCCCACGACAGGGAGGTAGCGACGGGCTCTGCGGGCGAAGTTCAGGCGGAAGCTGTCACCGCCCGCGACCGGAAGCGCCTCTGACGTCAGCCGCGCGCCGAGAGGCGGGGTCGCACGTCGCCTGGGAAAGGCGCACTGGCGGCTCCTCAGACCGGAGCTAGTCGGGGCTGCCCTCGGAGCCGCTGCCAGGGTGACGGGCAGGTACTGTGAGGGGGACCGGGAGCCGAGCGCGCAGTGACCGCGGTCTGTCCCGTCCCGCCTGCCCCGCGGCGGCTCGGTGGCGGCCGAGGGAGCCGCAGCCTGAGCGCCGTGCGGACGGGCTCCGGGGAAGCCCGCGGCGCGGACGGACGGACGAGCGCGGCCGCAGGGTCCTCGACGCCCGAGTGGCTTTTCCCGCGCGGTCACGAGGGGCAGGGAAGGTGGGCCCCGCGTCGAGACGAGGAGGGTTCGGGGGCCGGGTCCTGGCTGCTCGGGCCCCCGGGGCTCCGTTTGTGGGGCTGGGGGCGCGTCTGTACCCTGGTTGGGTGGGAGGCATCCTCAGTCCCAGAGTTGGGGGATGCTCCGCGGCCGCTCGGGCCCCGGGCTGGGGCGGTGTGACCCGGAATGTCCACTCTCTCTTTGGAGGGCACGGGATTACCACGAGACGGACGACCGGCTCAGAGAGGGCTTTCGCGGCTTCTTGGGGCTGCGGGCATGCGTTCCGCCGGCGCCCCGAGACCCGCACGCCCTGTCAGTGGGGGCACGGCGAGGGGGCAACCCCGGCAGTTTTAGGGTGCATTGTAATTGGCCCTGCATTTCCGAAACACGGTGGGACCCCAGAGCCTCTCTTGCATGTGAGGGTGCGTTTGTTTTGGGTGGAAGCTGGAGACGCCCCGACGTCATTGAGCAGGGGCCGGGAGGAAGGTGCCTCTCTCCGTCTCAAAACTTTGGTTTGTTGAGGGGCTGGGGGAAATGATTGAAGGTGACCTTGATTTTAGTATTTGCATCAGTGGTTCCTGGGGATTTTAGGGTGGTGATGGGATTTAGGGGGTGTTTGTGTTGGGGTGGGAGTCTTGCGGGGTCGGGGGTGGGGGTGTTTGGCTTGGATCCACAGCAGAACATACTTTCCTGGTGGTGAACTGAATCCTCATTTGCATCTAAACATGCATGTTTTGTTTGTCTGATGATGCCTCATGGGAGGTGTGGCCTTTTATGAGAGACTTCTCTACCCCCACTCCCACCCCCAGTCTATTTCTATTTCTCTACCCCTTCACCTTCCAATTTGCTGGGTCTCTGTGCCTGCCTCCAGGGTGACCCCATATGGGCCACTCAACCCTGAGAGCTATTGTTGCCCTGCCATGTTTCTACTGACCTTGAATCTATGCCATTGTGCACCCACCGGCCTGTGATCTTGCATCCTGCTTCACCTTCTGCATCATTAGCCTACAGCCCTGTGAGTCTGAAGAGGACGCCACTGACCTTGGACCCATGGATTTAAGTTGGACTGGGCTGGATTGCTTTCTTGATATAAAGTTCTTCCTTATACATATATGAATGTCACTGGTTTTGTGTATCTAAACCCAGCCTAAGATAGTGTCCAACCTCCTAGGTGGTCCACAGCATATTGTTTGCATAGACCCACTCAGTCGTTGTTGAGAAATTACAAGGACTATGGTAGAAGGGCCCCCTTCAGATAACTGATCTGGGATATGGAACTTGAGTCAGATCTCTGGAGTCAAGAGGGGTGCATCAAATTTTTACAGGAAAGAGAAAGTGTCGGGGAACAGACTTGAGAGCTTATAAATCAGAAATTAATAAATGTAGAAAATCCAGAAAGCCCAAGTAAGCCAACACCTGTGATTGTCGACTGAGAATAATGTGAGAAGCCAGGACCCCTACTGAAGAGGCCTAGGTTTAGAGCCCACTGTAAAGGATCCAGCAATATGAAATTCCTTCTCCATCCCACAGGTCCTGGATACATGGGAATAAGAAGATTTCCTAAGTGAGGATTGAAGACATCACCCCCCACAAGTTGCCAAGATCCATCTGGAGATGAAATGACTTGCCACTGGCCCTGTGGCCGAATTTCAAGGCAGTGACCACCCTGACTGTGGTCATTACATTGCTTGGTCCTTCGGCCTAGGGAGAATAGGACTAGGGAAAGGTCTTGGCTTCAAAGGACAGATTAGATAATGGAGACCATGAAGAAACCGACAAGAGGTGAGAGTTGTTGAGGGTGTGGAGAGGTGAAGAGAGGACCAAGGCTCCAGGTTCATGTGAGAAGCCTTTAGTGACCACAGCTGAGTAAAGCACCTCCCATGATGAGACGAGCTATTCGGGGAGTACTGTGGGTGATCTACTTTCTCACAGCTTCTCTTTATTCCCTTAGGCTTGTCTTCTAAGGATACCAACTGGCCCCAAGCGAAGAAGAGAAAGCCCCAAATACTGGTGAGTTGGAATTACCTTGTTTTTTGAACTGCTGGCTCATTGCTCAGGTAATGGGGACATACTCTGTTTTGGGAAGAAGAAAGTGATAAGCCTTTAGTCATCTAATGCCGTCATGGCAGCTACCATGGTAGGCCTAAGGAATGTTTTTTGAAAAACTGAGGTTATTAACATTTTTTAATGTGCTATCAAATTTGATACAATAGTTGCAACAGTGGGCTCAAGAATAGGATCAATTGTGAGGACCAGCAGTGTTTTGTTCTGTTGTACATAGGGTCCTAAGGGGTAGGCTGCCCCTCCCTGTATTGGCGGAGGGCGTGATAGTACCATATATGGGTCTCTTCCAGTCTGTTGACCAAGTAACTGCCTTCCAAATGCCCTGGCGCAGACGTGTGAGTGCTGCCAGTGCTTCATCAGCTTGTTGAAATGTTTCGGTAGGTACTCCATCAACTCTTGGAGCCCTGCTTCTGTCTGATGCTTTCAGGGCAGCTTGGTCTTCTTCCTTCAGGATCATTGGTTCTTGCGCTTTTGCTTCCTCCTGAAATGGTGGAATGTTGACGAGTTAGTTCTTTTCCATATAGTGACTCTGTATATTCTTTCCATCTTTTGCTGCTTCCTGCATAATTCCAGTATTTTGCCCATAATGTCTTTCAATATTGTAACTCCAGGCTTGAGGTTTTTTCTTGAATACATTCACCTTAAGATATGCTGAGCATATTCTTCCTTTTTGGTTTTCTAACTGTAGGTCTTTGCACATTTCATGATTATATTTGACTTTGCCTTCAGCTGTCCTTTGACATTTTCTGTTTACCTCTGACTTCATAATTTCTTCCGTATGTCTTAGCTAGTATATGCTAGAGCAAGTTTCAGTGTCTTCTGACATCCACTTTCTTATCTTTCCTGTCTTTTTAGTGCCCTTTTTTGCTTTCTCCATGAATAATGTTCTGGTGGCCTCCCACAGCTGATCAGGTCTCCTGTCATTAGTGTTCAGTAAGTCAAATTGGAAAAATAATAACAATTTATAAATTATCAAGGGTTCGTGGGGAGGGGAATAAGCTGATACCAAGGGCTCAAGTAGAAAGAAAATGATGGCAACAAATGTGCTTGCTACAATGAATGGATGGATGGATTGTGATGAGTTGTATGAGCCTTCAATAGAATGATTTTTTTTTTAAGTTTTACGAGCCCCCAATAAAATGGTTAAAAATAAATAAGTCAAATTTGTTCTGAGATGGTCTTGAAATTCATGTGAGATAGACTCAAGGTTGTAGTTTGGCTTTTGTGGACTTATTTTAATTTTCTTCAGCTTCATCCTGAACTTACATATAAGCAGTTGATGGGCTGTTCCTCAGTTAGCCCCTGGCTTGGTTTTAATACTGATACTGAACTTCTCCACTGTCTCTTCCCACAGATGTAGTCAATTTGATGTCTGCGTGTTCCATATGGAGAAGCCCACGTATGTGGTCACTTTGTGTTGTTGAAAAAAGGCATTGACTATGAACAAGTTGTTGGACTTGCAAAATTCTACCATGTGATCTCCAGCTTTGTTTCTATCATCAAGACTATTTTCCAGCGACTGTCCCTCCCTCTGTTTCCAGCTTTTCTTTCAACCATCAATTATCAGTGCATCTTGATTGCATGTTTGATCAATTTCTGACTGGAGACGTAGGTAGAATTCTTCAATTTTTTTATCACTAGCTTTAATGGTTGGTGCATAAATTTGAATAGTAATTGTATTGATTGGGCTTCCTTGAATTCAGATAGATATAATCCGATCACAGACAACGTTGTACTTCAAGACAGATCTCTTTGATGATGAATGCAATGCTATTCATCTGGGTTGTGCTATTCTCAGCAGAGTAAACCTTTTGATTTTGATCAAAATGGCCAATTCCAGTCTATTTCAGTTTGCTAACCCCTAGGATATCGATCATGTGGTCCATTTCATGTGTTAGGACTTCCAGTTATCCTGCATTCATACTGTGTACATTACAAGTTCCATCATTAGATTTTTGCAGCTGCTGCTTTTCATGTTGAGTCGTGTTCCATCAGCAAGTGAAGGTCCCAAAGGCTTTGCTCCCGCAAGCTTTACTCCAGTCGCCTTTGTGATGGGCTCTGCTTGAGAAGGCAGCTCTTCCTCAGTCATATTTTCACTTCTGACCTGCTCATCTTCTGGCACTCTCTGACAGTGTTCTGCTTCTGTTCATTCGGCTTTCGGTTTCAGTGCTATGCATAAGGTTTTCAGTGGCTAATAGTCGATTCGTTCTTCGTGAATAGTCTGTTCTTACTCTGGAAGCTCCACTGCAACCGGTTCACTTTGGCCAACCCTGCTGGCATTTGAAATACCAGGGACACAGCTTCCAGCATAGAGTACAGAATTACAAGGCATCACCTAAGTGATTATGACTAGAGGGGCCATATTAAGTGACTACATCACAACCGTGTTCTCTAGAAAGAATAAACTATTTCAGATGCAGACTTTTTAAGACCACCAGCTAAACTATCTATTACATTTACAAATATGTTTTGAGTTTCTGGAAGATTATCTGGCCCACAGTTTGGAAAATTGATGATGTGCTTGGTATTTTTGCTTATTGTAGGAGCCAGTTACATTGGAGGATATCACTGTGGTCTTCACAGAAGCAGAATGGGAGACACTGAGCTCTGAGCAGAAGAACCTGTACAGAGACGTGACGCTGGAGATGTACAGGAATCTGCTCTCCTTGGGTGAGGATGTAGTCTTTTACTCATTCAGTAAATATTTATTGGCCACCAATGTGTGCCAAAGGGGTCTTGGTAGTGTAATCATTAAGCACCCAGCTCCTTACAAAAAGGCCAGCAATTTGTACTCCTGAGCCGCTTCATGAGAGAAAGATGTGGCAGTCTGCTTTCCTGAAAGTTCTGCCCTTGGACACCTATACAGTACTTACTCTGCATTACAGGGTCTTTAAGAGGTGCACTGGTGGCATAGTGGTTTATGCTTTGTGTTGCTAACCACAGGGTCAGCAGTTCAAAACCACCAGCTGCTGTGTAGGAGATCAGGCTCTCTACTCCCATAAAAAGTTAGTCTGAGAAACCTACAGCGGCAGTTCTATTGTGTCCTATAGGGCTCCTCTGAGTTGGAATTGACTAGATGGTAGTGCATATAGCATCTCTGACAGGTTTTTGTGTTTTTCTGTGTTCCAAATAGTTTGCACTCAACTATTAACCTCAAGGTTGGTGGGTCAAACCCATCCAAAGATACCAGAGAAGAAAGGCCTGGCACTCTGTTGCCACAGATTAAAGGCAACAAAAGCCTATAGACCACATAAAATAAATTTAAAAAATAGACCCTAGGAAGCAGTTGTGCTGAGTAACACATGGAGTAGGACTAAGAGTTGGAATCAGTGGCAGCGGGTTTGTTTTTTGTTTGTTTGTGTTTGTTTTTTGTCTATGTGCCAGGTAATATTCCAGACACTCAACACATTAGCCAATGTAAGCCTCACGGGCTTTTTTCAACTACGAAGAGAAACAATAATCTTTACCTACAGAGATACTACATTATGGAATGGTAAAACGTGACGTATGCAATACAAGGAGAACCTAATAATATAGTAGAGCGGGGGGATGGAGTATTGGATGTGCTAAAGTTGGAAATTTGGCATGTGAAATCAAGGAGCTAACACTTGACCATGGATGTATGGCGTGAGGGATCAGACCTGCAGGAACTAGGGTGAGAATACATCAGATGGAGAGCAGTGTCAGTGGTGCTGAGGCTGAGGACCTGTCAGAAGGCCAGGGCAGTGGGGGCACAGGATGCAAAGGAGAACGTAGTGAGAGGTGCCTTCTCTACCAGCTATTAAAATGGAATGTGAAATTTTTTATGGCTTTTAGATTTAGTAAGTCATGCCTTTTCTTTTTTTAATGTATTGAAAATATTACTATGGCTTTTAAGGCTCGATTGATCAATATTATTAATTGCTACAATATTGTAGATCAGGATTTGGCCACCTTTTATTGTATAAAGGGACAGATGGTAACTACTGAGGTTTTGGACCAAATTGTCTGTCCACAACTCTCACTTTTGTGGTGGTGCAAAAGCAGTCATCATGTGCAAACAAATGGGCATGGCTGTGTTTCCAGTGAACCTTTCTTCATAAACACTGAGATATGAGCTCCTTAGCATTTTCACATTATGAAAAATTAATCTTTGATTTTCTTCCTAACCATATAGAAAGCTAGAGTATATTTGTAGACTGCATGCGACGTCATAGAATCAAGACTGAAAGCTCAACACTATAGCGTTATCACTTGGTCTCACAGGAGCCAACTGGCCAGAAATAGAAAGAAACCATAGTTTTGGTTATTCAGAGAGGTTAAGTGCCTAAGTCAACTGGGGAGCACTCTGTGAGAGCGACCAGAGCCTGACTGCTGCGGAGACCCAGCTGTGGCCAGGCGGCTCAGTGCAAGGGGCTGTTCATTTGGCCGACCAGCAGTCTCAGTCCACACAAACAGGTACCAGCCGATGGCCAGAAGCCAAAAGACACAAAGAAAAGCTGGATAAGTACTTGTTTATAAGTGAGCCATCTATTCTGTAACCACTATTCGTATAGTGTAGGAAAGTTAACTCCTTTATTTGACCTTTTGCTTTGATTCTTGGAAAACACATCTTGAGAGATTTTTCCCAAGGAGTTACATTTGCCCTAGATTTTCATTGCCAGAGACTCTGTAAGCAACTTAGTTTTGTCTGGATTTGCTGCACCTGCCTTGTGATTGGAATGCACCATACTAGGGTTGATCAATAAACTGCCAATAGTGTCTGTGGAGGACATTAGTCTGTTCATTGTACTGGTGAGATTGAAATTGATGAAGCAACCCCACAGACAGAAAAAGGCAGGAAGAAGCCAAAAAAAACTAAAAGAGACAGGAAAACAGAGAAAGAGGAGGCAAGGAACCTCCTACAAGAGCCCTAGCCCAGGTCAGGGATTGTAAAACCAGAGAGTGAGAGGCCTGGAAGTGGCCTGAGAGCTGAGCCGTGAGTGGCGGG